GCTGAACCGTAAGTGCTGGGCAGTCTCCTGTCCAGAGACCTTCTGATCCCTTGTTCTGTCTTGGTGGACTCTTGTGGACCAGGACGTTTGCTTTCTGCAACTGAAAGCACTCAGCTGTGGAGCTACAGCTTTAAACAGGATCCTTTAATGCTGAAACAGAAAACAAGCTCCCCCCACACCACTCAGGAAACACCAGGAGACTTCGAAACGAGTCCTGAGCCTGGAGGGGCTGCTTCTACAGGGCAGAGGAACAGGCATTCGGCCCTCTGACCCCCTCCAGCGTCCTCAAAAACAAGCATGCCGAATCTTCCTCTTCCCAGGCCGACGCTTTCTACCCATCTCCTGTGCTTGATCCCCGAGTGCTCCAGGGCGGCTGCAGGACTTCAGCACACGACTGGGCTTCCGGAGCTGGACGACATAGATGGGCAGTGGTGTTACGATGGGTCCAGATGTCCTGCTCCAAGGACGGCAACTACAGACTGTGAATCCTCTCTCACAAAAGCCAGGCTGTTCACCTCTGGTTGAATCAACGGACTGTTTTTTGGGACTCTGCCTCTTCCCCCTGGTTTCAGCTGACCTTAAGTCTGTAACAGCATGACTTCTCTGTGGAAGTAATAAAGCAGAAATGTGTCTGGGCCACTCCACCAGCCCTTGTGCCTTTTGGTTGATGCTTCTACACTGTGCACAGGTCTCACGTGTCCTCAAAGCCAAGCCTGCTGAGCAAGGGCCTCACAAGGTAGAAAGTTTGAAGCTGAAAGGGCTCAGAAAGAGCTGCTTTTAGCTGGAGGGGATTCTTTTAGCACAGGAGCTGCTGAAGACAGCTGTGAGGCGACCTTCCCAGGACCCTCTCATGTGCCCTGGTGTAGACACTACTCTGGGGGAAGCAGGACCTAACGGCAGCTGATATTTTGAACAGTGCTGCCATATACAGGGCAGCTTTAAGGATGCCGTTGCTGCAATTTAAATGGTCCTGCAGGATGGTCTGCACTGAAGTGGGGGCCTCAGAACAGCCTGAGATTGGACCAGCTTAAAAATCATGCTAGCTCATTCATCCTTGGTGGGAAATTTTGAGCTCCATCTCTTAGAGGAACAGCTCAGATCCCCACTCGCGGCCTGGCCTGTGGGTTCCTAAAGCACTTGGTATTCAAGACACAGTCACTTTGGAGGAAAATATTAAACTCTTTATTAAAATAATATGTAGCACTTGCACAGTGCTTTAATATTTCAAAGGGCTGTACAAATATTAAAGTCTTACCCACTCCTGAGAGGTAGGTTGATAGGATGCAGTTTGGCAATCCTTTGCTAAATAACACACACCACAATCGAAATAATCATTGGTCGTTTTGAGACGGTGCCTCCGACTTCTCTATCTGGACACGGCCACACAAACAGCTTGGGGTGTTAGCTACTCTGCACACAGCTGCTGGGGTGGGCTTGTATTCCAGGATAAATGCAAGTGGCTTACATCATTCGTGGGTGGGTGCGGTACAAGGCAGGGGTTGACTTACCTTGCATTTTCCACGGGGAAGGCATGCACACGAGCAATTACTGCAGGGCAGCTGTACATTCACACTCTCGCTTGTCTCACACTTGAACCTCCCATGCCCTTAGACACACAAGCATGTCCGTGGAGCAATGGCGGGGGCAGATGCAGACCAGCAGCGAATAGGCTGAAGTGCAGTTTTGCCCTGAAGGATCACTTGGTATAAAACGGCAGCGGAGAAGGATTGCACACTTGTTGAGACTCGAGGGGACAAGCTGCGTGGTTACATGTTCTGCATTTTCAATGTAAGCCGGATGGGTCTGTGCCCTCCAGGCTTTGTGCAGGTGCTTGGTTATGACCGGGGCAGAGGGCAGGAAGGTGTAACGGCCTGTGGCTCTGGCTCTTCTCCCTCCTCCTGTATGGATGCCTGGCTGACCTGGGCAGGCACAATGAGGCCAGCTTCCATCTTGGGGTAGCTCCATGTGGCATCAAGGCTGCAGTGAGTGGTTAGGGAGCTGAGAGGAGCTCTGGTCTCTTCCACGGCAGGCTCCACGTGTGGTGGGAAAGGGCACAGGCGGGGAGCTGCAAGCCAAGGTTTGTTTCTTCCAAGTGACCTTAGTCAAGAGAGGGGTTGAGACACAGTGAGGATGGGAAGGCCCTTCCCTCTGACATCTGCAGGGATACTCAGACCCCAGAGGGTGCTGAGGACCTTGTGGAGACAACCCTGGCGACTTCATAGACAGCCACGTGAAATAAGGAGTCTGGGTGGTCCTGGTGCAGGTTAGAAGCCTGGGGACAGTGGCTTTCATGGGTGAGCATTGCTGTCCTGAGATACCAGAGGAGACATCTGATGGAGGAAGCCCTGTGTGCTGCAGCTGGGCAATCCTTAAAGTCCCACTGCAGCCCCATGATACTGGATGTTCAGTACTGCAGCTGAAACCATGGGAAACCTTTCTACTCCTTCAAAAAGGCCTTCAATCCTATTTCCTGCACAGGCCCAGGTCCTACAGCAGTGGATGGCAGAGTATTCATCCTCTTCTTAAAGGCAGGGATTGCAGGTGATCAGTGCCTCTTAGGATCAGGCCCTTCACTTCTACTCTGTACAAGCAGCTCCTGGTTAGGATACCAGGCTCTATCCCTGGTCCCCAGCACTGTCCTTGGCTGGTCACGGTGCAAGATGCCTTGGCTCTTTTGCACTGCTCTGGGCATTGGCAGCTCTGAGAAAGGGGGCACGTTCTGCTCCCTAACACCAAAAGGCTACAGCTGTTTAAAGCACAGTCTGTGTAAAGGGTTAGGGCTATCTGAGATGAGGGTAGAGAGGCAAATAGCTTCAAGCACTTGTGACACCACTGACTGAAAGTGCAGGGCGCTGTCTGCTCTCTTCAACACCACAGGGGAGCATCCACTAACATCAGTGGGTTTCCTCCTGCTTTCACTGCACATGGCAATCTGGGCAGGCTTCTTTCCTTCCAAAGGAGAGGAAAAATGATTTGTGTGTGCATGCTGTATTCAACCAGGTGGATTTATGTGTGCATGCTGTATTCAATGGGAGGATAAAGAGACTTAAATGGATTTTTGGGTGGTCCATCAGTGGTAATGCAACCCCTACAGGGCATCCACGGCCCTTTTGTCCACTCCAACAGGAATAAGATTAACCAGCATCTCTACAGGGTCTTGCTGAAAGGCACCAGGAGCAGCAGCGCTGAGGATCTCCACCCTGCCCATAACATGGATGGTGGTCATGCAAGGGTTGCGATGCAGTTTCTGTGGGAGGGGCTATTCATGCACAAGCGATTTGGTCTGCACCTCCGAGAGGCTGTCACGGGTCTTCGTGGTCTGGGATTCGCGTGTTCTCCAGTCACATCTGTGGGTCTCGCTTCCGGGAAGAGTTCCCGGGTAGTGAGGAAGCCTTGGAGGAGGTGGTGCTGGTGTGGCTCTTCTGGGAGCCTGCCGGCTGGGAGGGCAATTTCTTTTTGAGCACTGGCGTTTTGTTCTTGCTTTTAAACACCTTGTTGGGGTCCAGCTTGTTCACAAAAGAGTCGGCTTCTTCCGAGAGCAGCGCAGTGTTGATGGTGATGGGCTTGTACATGTTAAACCATTGCTGAAAAACAGGGTGTGGGAAAGGCAAACAAGAAAAGAAGTCAGCACAGGTTA